CCTTATTATAAACGCTAACCACGCTAACCCTAACATTAACGAACTTTAAAGGTTTTTGCTGCGCCACAAACCTGGCAATCTCTAACTATTTTATGAAACGAACCTTACAATACAAATGTTGCCAGTCTTCTAATTAGGGGTATTGATCGATTCTATGATAATCGTTTTACCGTATTTTCGCGTAATAAAGCGCAGGGTGTAAGTTCGAATTTTGGCCCGAATTAAGCTCGAAATTCGAACTTGTTATCACGCGAAAATACGGTAATCGTTAACCAACTTATAATCGATTCTCATTTTTATCTCGATTTCAAAATCGAAATCGATTTTAAAGCATTTAATCGTTTAGTTGAAATAACATTTATAATGATGGAAGTGTTTTATAGGCGATATGCAACTAAAATACCCAAATATTGAAATTTCTTAACCAATAGTGATTATTCGTCTTGATTATTTCAGATATTAGAAAAAATTTATTGAGCACAACATATCATTTTATTATCTAAATTTTAGGATTAATACTTCATTCCTTTGTAAATGGTAAATTATATAATTTCCGAGGTGAATATTTAATTGTCCGGAGCGGAGCGAAGCAGATGACGACGACAATATCATGTGTGCATGTCTATGATAACATTTATGAATCTATATGCAAAACATACTGTTCGATCATATTTGTCAAACAATCGGTCAAGAAAATTTGATCAATTTATTTAATATAACGATAATATTTTGGAATAAGAAATACATATTTAGAATTTGATCTTCGATCTAAATCGATTTTGAGGAATTCAATCATCGATTATAGTTGTCAGAATCTATTTATATCCCGATTTTTAATATGAGTTAATAACAACGGAAAATGATCTCTTTAAAACAAAGAACGATATCAAGTAAATCTGCATTTAGAAAAAAATTAATTTTACGTCGGTCAGGAGATATCCAAATCAGAAGAAGATGCAAAGTTTTAGTTTCATACGGAGTAATCGGATGCTTGGCGTTATAGTTGCCATTTAGGACGACCAGGACCCCGAATAATTATATTGCTGCATTATCCACTTTTCTTGAGTTTTGATTGGTTAAAAAATTTTTTAACCAATCAGATTTGCAGTTTTTTTAGAATTTTGACTTATTTTAACTACTTTTCACATATAACCTCTGTTAGTATTATTCGGGTCCTGGACGACCCAAACTGTGTGATAATTAAAATGTCACATTGATTCTTACTACATACTTAACGTCAGTTTCTCATTGTTAAAACTACATAATGCTAATTATCACAACCCAAAGTCAATTGTTTATTATTCAGCTCAGGTAATGATCTTACATTACAGGTATCATTAGAACATGCATACTTAACAAATTCGTATAATAAGGTCAGTGCATTTGCATTTCTTAATATTCAAATAAGACTCTCGAGTCTTTTAGCGCGAGTAATGTGAAACAGAATATTATATCATTTGATTCAATAGTTACATCAGATAAATTTAGCAAGGTGTAAACAAAAATTGAATGAATGCCTTAATTCTGTAATGACACCTTTTTTAGATGATTGATTGTATTCAAAACAATTTCTAGACAAGTTTTCTGCATCATATACAAAGAAATTTGTAATACGAACAACTAAATAAGTTGTTTTTCCTTCTGGCGTTTTATGATGAGCATTAAGTTACTTACTTATTCGTTAATTTTGAATAACCTTTATCTGTAAAAAAGTTAATCGTATAATCTTCAAGTTAATTCCGAATTTCATTTCCCCTGTATTAAATATGAAACTTTAGGAGATGCAAGACGCGAAAATGTTCCGAAATACTTCCTTGTCAACGATATGTGAATAGGTATGGCAGTGTTTAAATATAAATGAAGTCGATGTTCAAAATTCTGTCAAAAATCAATTCAAGAATCTCAAAATCAACAAAATAATAATACATACATTCACAAATTAAAATGACATCAAGAAAACAAAGAGTCCACGTTACAAATGCTTGTTTGTATTGTCAACGGCGACATATAAAATGCTCTGGGACAGCGACTTGCACAAATTGCGCAAAACGTGGACTTCGCTGTGCTTTTGTTATACCAATTAAAAAGAGGGGGCCAAAACCAAGATCACGTTTATTACGTAAAGACCATCAACCTTTTCTTTCTGGTCCAAAGCCAAAATCGCAATTATTGCATGAAGATCACCAATTTTTCTATGAGTTAAATTCAAAAACACAGTTATTACATAACCATCAGTTTTTTCTTTCTGCTCCAATATTTTCCCCACAATAGGGATAGGGACCACAAACTTTGTTACGTAATCTCAAACCCTAATCCTGTGTGACTTAATATATTTGGGATGTTGTGAGGATAGTGATGTGATGAATTGGATTTTTTTTGTTTAAGAAGCATCTTTGAATAGTAATTTACTTTTTAAGATAGTATTTAACATACGTATTAAATTGATGATTTATGCTTAATTTAAAAAAATCGATGTACACACGTAAATTAACCTGTAGGACAATGGAATAGAACAATAGAATTATAACAATGATGTTATTTGTTAACAGTTTGTGTAATCTACATGAATGCACGTGCAGTATGCGTGTAACTAGCTGGGCGACAATGAAAAAATCGGCTTAGCGATCGATTTTTAAATTCAGTTGATCGATTTCTTATACGTAGCCAAAATTGTGCGTTCCGAAATTTTCCGAAGTGGAACTGAACGAAAATAAAACTGTAAAATACGAATACTGGAATAGAGACGAAGCTGATTAATCAATTACTGAAATGTACTGTGTACACCATATGTATCATCTGACTTAAAATGAATTAGCTTCCATGAAAAACTTTCAATTAATTACGTATAAAATATTTTTTAAACTCAGTTTTTGTTAATATTACTGTATTACATGAGAATTCCATAAATAAAAAAGTATCGGCATTTTCTTTTTTATAAATATTCGGAAACTACTACGTACTTTCATTTCACATAGCCGAAATAATTTGAAAACAGTGTGGCGATTCAGAAGTTAACCATGAGTTTACTTTTAACTCTATAGATGTTAAAGTAATTCAGTAATTAGTGTGGTAATTTGGAACTTCTCTAAGAATACCCTTTTTTTTTGCGATTCAAGTAAAAAAAAAAAACTTACTTTAGCTAGCTTCAACAAGTTTTTATCTACGTGTAGGCTATTTGACCATTTTATAGTGAATTCTTTAAGTAATGTATATGAATGCTTTTATACTATTACGAATAGTTTGGAGATATACACAATATATATGAATAAATCTTAACAAGAAATGTAAAAAAAGCTCCGGATATAAATTAGATTTTATAATAAACATATCATACGAATAGGTGCTAATAGTAAAAAGGTTAGAATATGTATCAATAGTAAAAAGGTTAGAATATGTATCGACTGGTTTAAAAATGTAACTCAAGATGCGATTAAAAAAATCAAATATTTTATTAATAGATTTTACATAATTTCGGCCTTATAATATTTATAATCACTTAATTTTTTCTCAATAGTCCGCCATAAAAAGTTATTAATAAAAGAAAGTTATTAACAAAAAAAAAGTTATTAACAAAAAAAAAAAAGTTACATAAAAAATAAATTAAAATAAAGTTATTAATAGTTAAATGACAAACATACGAACTTATGAATGTTAATCATAAGTGGGTACGAAACGCTACAACCAATATAACAAATCCTTTAAGTTCGGAAGTTTAACTGGCTTTGATTTTATAGCCTTGACCCTTTCATCATAAACACCGAAGGCAGCATATTCATTAGCTGCTTCATATCTCATTGATTGTAGATTTCTTCCATTTCTTTTCTTTCTTTGGCCAGAAAATATACTGCCTTGCAGGCAAAGACTGTTCATTTTCATTTCCAGTTCTTGTCGAATTTATCCAACTTATATTTCCGGTGCTTCACTTTATCAAACTAGCTAATAAAACATATTTTAGTTCTAAGCAAATGCTGCTTCATATCCTAAAAGAATAAAAATGTTCAAGACACCAACCTGATCTGACCCTTCTGATTTTGGTCATCTATTACTATACAAAGTTCTAAGACACAGTGGCCTGGTGAAGAAGCAATTCGACAATTGTTTAAAGAATTGCTATTTGCTAAAGCCTAGATCTTGTAGGTAATAATGACCTCAGAAGTATTTTTGCAGTCAAAATCATCTTCAATCCAGTTTCCTCTCTTGAAAACTTCTTAATATATTTGTTTTTTTCTAGAACTTATTCAACAAAGGTAATAATATTACCTGTAACAGATAATTATATATATCTTGTATACTGGAAGTGTTTTAATATAAATCTTGGAAGTAGTTTTAGTGGTATCATAGGCAAAAAGTAAAAATTTTTCAAAATTTAACTATAGTAAAATCCAGTAATTAAGAAATTGTGGCTTTATAATGATTAATATTTATATTATTCTGAAGTATTAAATATTACTAATAGACAGGGTTTGGGGCACATAGCTTAGCAGTTAAGCTCCCAAACCTTCACAGACTACCGTATTTCGCCTTGTAGAGTACCCTCCTGGTTGACTGTACCCCCTTGATTTATACCGGGTATATTACCAGGTTTATAACCTGTATTTTTAGTACAAGACCGGGTATATTACCGGATTTATTACTTAAAAGAATTCTACATTTAAAGCTCTTTCGATTCTCATCTACATTGCAATATAAACATTATTTTATTATCAATAATGATGCCATTTAAAAACAAGTATAATCAAAGCTTATTTCTTTAGCGATATGTAATTTATCTGCCTATTGCAGTTTTATAAAATTTGCTTTCAGGTAGTTTTGTAAATTTTCATTATGACTATATTGTAAAACCATATTATAAAGTTCACCATGGACTATTGATTTATAATAAATATTTTAATGTAATTATCGATTTATGTTTGCAGAACTTAAAAATTGAATTCATACCTATATAATATAAAATTTAATTCTACCAGTTTATATAATTGCCTGCTTCTTGTAAAATATAATATAATTCAAACTCATTATATTCTTGATTTTCATTAAATGTTATAAAGGGTGCTTGATCTTGTTGAACTACGGAATTAGGTTCTTCAAAAACTTCTTCATTACTATAAACATTGTCACTAGTTTCATAATGTCCAAACCCGTTCTGTATAGAATAATTTTAATAATAGTCAATAATTTTAATTAATTTATATAAATGATACTATCACGATCATAATTACCTAAACTATCATAATCAAAGATCATATTTTCTTCAGATCTATCCATCATAGTTGACACACTGCAACATTTAAAAGAACATTGAATAAGCTGTATATCAACAGAATCCCATGCATTTTTAATCCATTCAGCAATGATATTATATGCGGGATGTTGAATTTTGCTAGTTGAAGTTAATTTTTTTATTTTTATAAGCATGCAATCAGTAT